GTGCTGACTAAATCGGTTACAAAAAAAAAACCCAGTATGAAATAAGAATGAGTATTAAGCAAGATAAATCTCTCAGCCCCTTGCAAGTTCGACTGCACAGAATAATGGCGCTTCAGTGTGGAAAATGTACGCTGTTCGTTTTATGGCCTTAATTCCTACACGTCATGCATGTATCCGGTGAAAACATGTAACACATGTGCAGCGTCGAGGAATAATCTTCTACAGGGCGAGCACTTGTCAGCAAACGCTACCCTTGTGCATTTTTAAATGCCTCAGTTCATGCACAGCGCTGGCATTAACACACCGATGTAAGGTCCCAGTGTAAACGGTCGTAGTTGTTAATCTTGCACTAACAAGCATCACACATGCTATAAAATTAAGGCGCATGTGGCCAGGCTGTAAATTACTACGCGGGCAAATTCATCTGAGGAAATGTTGTTCATTTATAATTCTCACTGAGTTGTTTTTTTGGGTGAATTAATATTTTGTGATATTTTTTTTACATACAATTATTTGAAAGCTGTTAAATTCAAGTAAGGCTTCTGAAATTGTCTGCTTCCCCCCCAGCCCCCCCCCCCCCCCCCCCCAGGGCTAAGCAGGATGAATGAGTGCAGTCCGTGTTGGGGTGTTTTATGTAACTTGGCGTTGAGCCAGCGTAAGAATATCCAGCATATGGGCATGAATGAAAATTAGATACACCCGTATTGTACGCAAGGAGCATGTTCCGGACAAATGTTGGTTCCAGTGCGTACGTCCAGTGACAGGCAATGGGAGAAACAAAGCCCTCTTAGTGGCCGCATGCAAGCAAATCAATTTTTTTTGGGCTGTTAATGTGCATTGATGGCTTTTTTCTAACATTCAATTTAGATCCAGCTCTGCTTCCTTACGTGATTCGGTACACAATTGTCAAAGTGCGTCAAAGTTGATGTGATATGTCAAGATACACATTTGCGTCCGCTTATAAGCTCTGCTTATTCATAATAAAGGTTTTTGGGTTAGATCGCGTTTATTTCTAAATGTGTCGTAACCCCCCACCACCCGACACGGGCAATCAGAAAAAAAGTGTCACGTTAACAAAAAGGCAAATAATTCACTACTTTAGCCCACCGGTGTGTTGAAGAGTGAATCCACATTTACAGTCGATGATGCTGGATGTATTTACCAGCGAAACGTCGTACTCAAACTGTAAATGTGGATTCACTCTTCAACACACCGGTAGGCTAAAGTAGTGAATTATTTGTCTTTTTCTCAACGTGACACTTTTTTTGCTGATTGGCCGTGTCGGGTGGTGGAGGGTTACGACACATTTATAAATAAACGCGATCTAACCCAAAAACCTTTATTATGAATAATATTGGTCGCGAAAGCCTACATGTTAAGCTCTGCTTAATTGATCACTGAAGGAGGAGAATTGACGGAGACGTTGTCCTCACCACTGAACGCTGACCCCACGAAGGGGCCACCGTTGGTTCAACCGTTCCAACCACATGCCAGCGTTGGCCCAAAGTTGAATGTTTACTGGGGTGACAACGCACCTGCGGGCCACACGACTCTCCAGTCAATAAGGCGTGCTGATAAGTCATGCCACACGCACAGCACTTTGCTGATCCGTTGCTGGACGAGGGCCTCCGCATGCTGCGTGTGCCAGTCGAGGTCAGCGTGAGTGAGAAACGTCGGGGAGCATAAGCACGGAAGCACAATACAGTACAACAATGGATTTTGCTGACCTGCCATCTGCTGTCCACCACGTAGCCTCGCAGCAGCCTACAACAACAACCTGTTGTGTCCAACATGTTGTCGGTTAGGACGGAGCGCATTCCTTGTGATTTGATCAGATGCGACGATTACTGTGGGACTGTTTCGTGGTTGATTGGAGTAAGCGTTGTATGGAGCACTTTTATAGTACAGCGGGAAAGGGCCCAGGTTTGAAGATGTATGGGGGCACCTGCCTGGGCTCAAGTGTATGCTCCCCTGCCACAGTGGTGGATGACAACAATTATTAGACACAGCCGATCTGTGTGAATGTGCTGGCACGGTTTACACAGACTATAAGCACTGCACTCTACAGAGACCTCTTTGTAGATGTACTGCTAAGTCATTGAGGGCTCCAGTCCTAGACTGAGGCTAGACAACTTTAGTAACAAATGACTGGCTGGCTGACTATGAATACTTGTACGTGTATGCGTTGTTTTGTCAGCCCCCCTATTGGATGAGTGCCTCCCCATGCCACGTGCGTCGTGGAGGGTTTATTGACCATATTTCAACGCGCTGGTCAGTGGGGTTTGACGAGAGCGGGGAGTGGCGACGTTCAAGCACAGGTTCAGCACAACGATGCGATGTTGACGCACGAACTGCTGCAGACCATTATGTAACGTCGCTGTGAACGCATGGCCAATTCTGGTCGGCACATTCCAGCACTTGCTAGGCCAAAGTCTGCTTAGCTTCCAATCTCTTGACGAGATCGGGTGCATTTTAGTCTTGCGTGTAACATAACTTTTGTTGTATAAATAATCTTAGGTACATTATATCAGAGCGTGGAAGGAGCAAGCCCAATAGCCTTCAAGAAGGGTTCATATTCTTTGGGTCTTTCGGTAAAGACTTTACCGAAAGACCCAAAGAATATGAATTCCTGCAGTCTCGAAAGTTTTAATTCAAGATTCAAGAGGGGGTCTCTATATCGCCCTCGAGTGGAGGGAACGTCCACCAGCAGCGGCACGAGCGAGAAATCGCAGGGTTACACCTCTAACACTTATATAGAAGACCTGTCATAGAGTCACAACATCTTTTACACACACATTACAGTATACACATAACCCACAACACAGGCCCTCTGTTAATGCATGCTTCCGTGACACCGCGACACTTTTCCTGCACGCGTTTGTGGACAAACTTCCAAAATCCGTTGGGGCTGTTCGTTGTTGACCCATTAGGGGCGACCTCTCGCCCGATGTGCGTACGTGCATGCGCGCGCGCGTGTGGTGTGTGCGCGCGCGCGCGTGTGGTGTGTGCGCGCGCGCGCTCCCTGCTGTGTTTTCCTGGAATGCAAGCGCGCGGAGCGGCCACTCTTTCCAGGGCGTTGGGCCCTCCTTCCCTCCCCCCCACCCCGGTTGCGTGGCTCGTCAAGCATGCCGAGAGGCTCACAACTCCCCCTTGCACGCGGGCTTCGTGCGTGCACCACCGTCGCTGGTGGTCGCAAATTTGGGCACAAAGAGCTCGTGCGATTAAAGGGCGCGCTATGAAATTGTCAGAACGGCGACGTATATGAACCGATGCAATCAAATCGAGCGGGGGGGGGATCGTTCGAAATGTAATAAAGTGTGCGTGAATAACCGGCCTTAGAAGAGGCTTTTAAAGTAGCTCGATCACTCCCAATTGTGCCACACTTTTGTTTGTAATTTTTCTTCAATACAAAAATAGAATTGACTCGTATATTTTCACTGGAATACTTTCCGCCTGTTTGGTTTATGCAGTTCAGTCAAGAAACAGCTGATGGATTGTCGTGAACTGAGAACAGCGGGGAGTAATCAGCAGTGACACGTTTTGTTGAACTTCAGTAATTCGTGCTTTGTATTCAATAAAATAAACAAATGTTCAGCCAGTCAATCACAGAGTGCAGGTTATGTTTTAATCTATTTCTTATGCTGTGTTTTTGGAATGTATAATGTATTGTGTAAGTGCAGTCAGTAGGAACCTTCCAAAATTAATTACGTGCCATTCACTACCAGACATTAACGTTTGTGTTGCTTTATGGGGAAAACTGACTTGTCTGCTATGGAGGGCATTCTTAACCCACTCCAATAATTGCTGCTTACCTATGTAAGATTAAACCACAATTTTAAAGCTTCCCCTCTTTGCCCGTACTCAAAGTAGGAAAATCCGGCTTGAAAAACAGATCAGCATACATCACTCGCTCCTTAACCCAACTCATGCAGCTCTGCTGATGCAAAAGTTAAGAACGCACTCGATGTGATACGTTAATATACGTTCATTGATTCATTTGAGAAATTGAATTGTCAGCTTTGAACCGAAAGTTAATATTTACCTACAGACTCAGATTTTGGCATAACGAATTTTACCTATGTTCTCTAAGCTAAATCTGAATCAAATACTTCAGTAAATGCCATTGCCCAAAACAGTAGCTTATTTCACGCAAATTATAATCGCACTTTTCCGTTATAAATATTAATTACATTATTTATGATCACCGTTGTAAGCTAAAGCAGTTGAAGAGTTTAGCTTGTTTAAACAAATGCTTACTGGATAACATCGGTCTGCAAAGCCAATTGGCCGAAGAACTAATCATATTTGTTGATATGTGGAGATCTGCCCGATATACGCCTCCCATTCAGTACAACAACAACAATCGGCGTTCACCACTGAGTGGCGGTGATGTCACCACGGCGCTCGTGCCATGCTAGGTGCACTTCGAGGCCACGTCCAAAGTGTCGAAGTCGGTCGGTCACGGAACTCGACCCAGGCGCCACGGGTTGACCGACCCAGATTGACCACCAGCAGTCTGCTTGCTCATGCGCCTTACTTAAACCGTCGCAAAACATTCCATAGCAAACCGGGAGCGCCAGTCGTCTAACTAGCGTGGGGGGGCGCCTTGCCGCCCCCCTTGGTGGCCAAAGCTACTAGTTGGGCCCCCCACCCCCCTTGACGACCACCATGTCTTCAACAACAGTGTCAGAGAACAAAAGCGTATTTTAAAAAGGCGGTTTGAATGAAACATTTTTTTTGTTGAATGAAAATTGCTTTCATTTAGCAGTGGCTGCGTTTTGTAAAATACGGAGCGCCCCCTAACAGCGTTAAATGTTCGAGACGGCGAGCGTCACGACGACGTAAATTTAGGCAAGAGGAGCCGCGGATATCATATTGCTCTAGGTGCGACCGTGCGAGACGAATCAAATATTGAAGGGGGGCCCACCGGGCCATCCCCCCCACCCCCTGAGCCGACAATGCGGTTACAACGCCTAACTGACGGGCACGCAGGAACGCACCTTCGTCGACGTAGTTGATGGCATTGCCCCAGACGGACGACGACAGCAAGAGGCAGGCGCAGGTGAGCGCGGCGCTGAGTGCCGACGGTTTCATCCTGGCAACGAAGTGCGCGCGTGTGCGTGCGTGAGACTCTGACCGAGACGGACAGAGACAGGGAGTGAGAGAGAGAGTGAGCGGGTCGCTTTGAACGCGACAGAGACACGAGGAGGAATGAGGAGGGATGAGGATGAGGAGGCTTTGCGCAGCGTTTTGCCCCGATGCAGCCTGAGGTTCCCCTTAAATAGAAACGAGACGGAAGCGCGGGATTTTCAACCCCTGCGGACGAAGCGGGGTCGGCGGGAGGGAGGGAGAGAGAATACCATCGGGGAAGGGTGGATGGTGGGGGGGGGGGCACGTGCCAGGAGCCTTTTAACAAAGGTGTCCTGGGAATTGCGTTACGGCTGATGCTTGTGTGTGGGTGGGGGAATGTGTTGGCTTGGAGCGGGGCGGGGAGCTGGTGAGTAAGAGGTGGGGTTTGGGGGGGGGCATGGGGAGCGGGGGTGTAGTGGTTAGCGCGCTGCACTACGAACCAGGCCACCTCAGTTCGATTCCCGCTCACGGCCAACACCCAGTGACGATTGTCTGAACCGGTCATGGGCCTTCTCCCCTAGGTCGACTCGGACTCAAATGAGTACCTGCTGCTGCGCGCAAATATCACCACGAGGGAGAAAAAGGGCGGTGGGGCGTGGTGCTGGCCACCCACCCACTCCCTCGTGTGCCACAGTGCCGGTAGCCTTCATAGGTGCCACTCGCTAACAGCACTTGCCCCGACAGTCTGGCACAGGCTACACGGAGGGGGACCTCTGTCTCTGTGTGTTGGCGTGGAGAGGGGGCAGGTGAGTAAGAGGGGTGGGTGGAAGCAATGTCGTGGGGGGGGGGGGGCAGGACGTGTAGGGAATAGTGACGTTGCATTGGTCGCTCCCCACCCCCCCCCCCCCGCTTTCTCTGCTCGTTCGTGTGGGACCACGGGGCCTTTCTGAGTTTCGCGGGAGATTTTGCGGGGGAGGGTTGAAAAGCAAAGGAGAAAGAGAGAGAGAAAAAACAACCTTGTGTAATCTACCTCCAGTTTCCTGAATATCTGCGCACCCGAGTGGCTAATTATGATGGCAAAGCACGAGCAAGGAGCCTGGGGAATTCGGAGAGAGGTCATCAGGGGTTGCGCGAGTAATCAAGAACACACCGCCCCTTAAACTTGACTCCCACATCGAGAACACCAAGTTAAGGGGATCCGTTCTGGATCCAATAAGAACCAAAAAAAACCCCACCTTTTTGGTGTTGTTATTTTACCCGTGCGTGTCGCTTAATTTTTTTTATATGAAACTAATCATTCAAATTCTATTGACGGCTATAGAACAATCAAAACACATCCTTCTGTAGTGGACGTCGTAAAACATAGAGATGCCTCTGGAGGTTTGTCACGCGATTGTTTTGTCCTCAGAATGTTGCTGAAATCTGGCTTCTGTTAGCTTCGAAGGAGCCACTGCTCCACATTCTGTAACTTCAATCTGGGTCCCTTGAGGTCACCCTTTGTAAAAGTGCACGTACGAACAACTTTCATTTTTGTCCAGAAACAAGCCTCAGACGAACACAACATTTTACCATCTCGGACTGCAGATTGTCCCTTGGCTATGCCCGGGATGACATTCTGCATCAATTGTCGATAATCTTCTTCTTGGCATTTCCCCAAATCATGTGGGGCCTGCCTTCCTGCTCCTCTTTCTCTACTCATCACTTCTTCTTCTTATGTCGTATGTCTGAAGGAAATGCAGAACAGCAACTACAATTTCACATTCGGGTGGTCAAGCCACAGATAACCGCGTCAGGAGCGGTGGAGTGTATCGCTGTGATGATATCCCCTTCGTATTTGTGGATCGGGCATTGCGTCGTTATACGCTGTACGGTCTGTTCTGGATGACCACAGTCGCACACTGCCGAGTTGATAAGTTTCCATTTGTGCATCAGCTATCCACATTTGCAGCCATGTTTTGCGCAGTGGATGCGGTTTAGGGTGGACCGTGAATGTTCGTGGAAAATCAAACCCAGGGATCTTCTGCGTTGGGTCTTTCACGAGGTGTCTGTGTGCGAGTTCTTTCAGAACTCCATTCTGCTCTCCATGCTTCATCGGGGTTGAATTCGCATCGTTTGCTCTTCACTGTCCTAGGCCATCTCATCCACGTCCACCCCACAGGCCCCCATATTCTGGGGCTCCACTTTCAACCACCTGTCTTTAGGTATGCCCCTTGGTCTCTGGCCTGGTGCTTTCATGCTCGTAACTTTCATCTGACATAGCCTTCCTGACATTTCCTCACCATCTGAGTTGACGTTCAGTTTCTCTGACATGAGTACCACCGCCTTTGCCTTCTTCCTCATCTCTCCATTCCTGACCCCGTTCCAGCTTGAATTATGATCCCTAAGACCCAATCTTGCCACCCTCGTATCTGTGGTTTGCATCATCTTGCTTCTCCCTGCTTTTTTTAGTCCAACAGTCACACTTCTATGTCAACACTGGTCTTATTACTGCCGGTTAGTGGAGCGGTGGTGCATCGGTTAGCACGCAAAATCCAGCTCGGCGTCCCGAGTTCGATTACCGCTCACAATCAACACCGGTGAAACATTATCTGAACTCATCCTGGGCCACCCCTAGGTCGACTCAGCCTAAGAAAATAGTACCTGGTGCATTGTGTGAACATCACCACTGAGGAGGAAAAGGTGGTGGTCGGGCGTGGTGCTGGCCACCCACCGCCTTCTTGTGCCAATCTGGACCTTCGCAGGTGCTCGCTAACAGCACTTGCCCCAAACGTCTGTTAAGGCTATATGGGGGATCTTTGTTTTAGTATTACTGTCCCAAGTGCAGAATGGTGTGAATCTCCATTTATGGCACTGGGCCAGAGTTGAAATTCCAAATTTATAAGCTGGGTTCATTCACTCTATAATACAACTGCTGTTCAGCTTCAGCGCTACGCTACTTATTCCATTAACCACAGAGGGATGAATAGCTGAGTTGACCCAGACAACCGGGATTTGAAATTACAGGCTTCAAATTGCAAGTAATTATCGTCATCTTCTCCTGTCCTGCCAATGTACAGAACCTGCTGGGTCCACAAACTTACGGCAATAGTTCTCCACTTCTTAACTTTATCCCACCTTTTGCTGTTGTTTCCATGTCTTTCGTTTCCCTTCGAGTGCCTTTTCCACTCCATCAGTCCATAATTTTTCTCAGTCGTCCTCTGCCTCTGTTACCTTTTCACGAGCATGGACCCACAATTTTTTTCTAGATTCCTACGTGGTGCCATTCTTCTGACATGACCATGCCATAGCAGTCCACTATCATTGACATGATTGCAAGTTACTTGGTATAAACGCTACACTGCTCCGTTGGTTTACGGATCGTGTACAGCAAAGAGAATATTTCTTATATTTTGAGAATATGAGGCCACAGTTTTAGGTTATGTGGTTTAAAGGTCAGTTTATTTGGCTTCTTTAAATTTCTACGTGATAAGCCACTTTGTTGAGTTATCATCTGCAGCCAGGTTCCTTCTGAAAAATAAGTTAATAGCTCAGTGGGATTTACCTGGCAAGATAAATAAATAGTTCAGGTTCATTTGTATATATATATTCAAAAGTGATTTGTTAACATGATCCTATACTCTGCTCTCCTGTCGTGTTTTTTTTGTATTTCTTTGTTCTTGGTGTAACTTTCCGACCCGCCCCTACTGGACATCTGTGAAAAAGATCTTCATAGCTCATCGGATTCCTCCAGTATAAGTAAATATTCGGATTCTAAGGAGATGGAAAGGATCAGATCTTAATATACTCTTTGGTTCTTTCGGTAAAATCACGTAGGTATATTTATTTTATTTTATAACTACTTGACTTCACCGAAAGAACCAAAGAGTATGGATTCCTGCAGTCACGAAAGCTTCAAATCTAGATATTCATATTTCACCCGCAAGCTGCAAGGAGCCCTTCTGATTTCACACAGTTCAACATCCAACCGCTATCACCACTGGAAATTCATGCATAGTGTAAAAAAAGAAAACAAGGTCACAAGGTCCTCCTAATATTCACAGACAACATGTAGGTTTTAATTGTTTGGTAACCAAGAGTGGCGCAGCAGTTATGCTTCACGCTATCGGCATGCAAATAAAATAGCGCCGAGGGACATCACCACCGCTGTTCTTTCCCATTTTCAGTTTGCGTCTCAGTTGCTCTTTCAGGGCAGAGCAGCCAGTTCCCAGAACCAATGCTGCTTGTCCTCCACAGCTGGAGTACTTTGGGGCCGTCCATAAATGACGTCACGCGATTTTGGACGAGTTTTGACCTCCGCCCCCCTTCGTCATACGACGTCACAAAAAGTCAGACCCCCCCCCCTGAAATATTACGTCACAAAGCTCTGCCCCCCCCCCCCCCCCAAAATATAAAACATGCTTCAAATCGCTTTAAACTATTGTCATTGTAGTGCGTATTTAATGTGGCGCTGCACTCTGATGTTGTAGGAGAAAACATTTATTTAAAAGTCAATTTAATTAAATAGAACGTGTTGTCTATGTTTATTTAAAGTTGCGCATTTTGATGTGACGTCACATTTCTCAAACCCCACACCCCACCCTCGTCACACATCGTCACAAATGTCTGACCCCCCCCCCCCCCCCCTAGGTGCGTGACGTCATTTATAGACGGCCCCATAGTAAATAATAATAATAGTGATTAATTATTCACAGCCCCATGTTAATTCCCTGTTCGATGAAGGCATCGCCAAATAATGTCGGTCCATTTTGGGGGCGCTTTGATCGCCTGTCACCACGCCCGCTCAGTGCAGATCGTTCGAGGGGAGGAGTCGACGTCCGTTCATACTCCTCGCCTTCACCAACCCAGAGACTGAACAGCGTGGTGAAGCGTCGTGCAACAAGTTCCACGACTCTCACGGCCTGGAGGAGGCCATCCTGCAGCACAGGATTGATAATCCTGTGCAATCATCATCACCTGATGATGATTGCTTGTGTTGCAGTCGAAACGTCGTGAGAATTTTATTGTTTTATATTTCATCATCACCTGATGATGATTGCTTGTGTTGCAGTCGAAACGTCGTGAGAATTTTATTGTTTTATATTTTTATTTTTGTATTATTTTATTGTTTCTCTTCTACGTGACTTTACCGAAAGAACCAAGAATATGTACTGCTGTACGTATTTGTACGTACGGCGAGCGGTAATGCGGCGATTGATCGCACTGCGCTACGGACCCGTTCACGGCCAATACGCGGAAAATCTTTGAACCAGTCCTGGGTCTCCCCTACGCCGACTCAGCCACGAATG